TCCCAGAATTCAACTCCGTCTTCCCCGGGCTCTCTTTGTTCTCTGGGTAGGCCACCCTGGCTGAAAAGTACTCTGAAACACTCACCAAACCCTAACCACACCGGGACAGGGAGGTTTGGGGCTTCCCACCTGGACCAGTTTCACAAGAAGAGGGGAACTGGTGAACCTGGGCTGGGGCCTGGCTGTAGTACCCAGACTCATGGACCCACCAAAAGGGCCTGTCTCCAAACAGAAACCTAGAAGAGAACAGATGTGAGATGACATTACACACGCATACAGCCAGGGGAACAGGCGGGGAGCAGAAGGATGCCTCTGGAAGGCCTGCACGGTGGAGTCAGAAAGGGAGTCCAATTCTGTGCATCACCTTGATGCAATGATTTTTTTTTTACCTTGGAAAAGAACGCACGCTATTTTTTAAGAAGTGATAAGGAGACAAGAGACCGTGTGTGTGTGTGTGTGTGTGTGTGTGTGTGTGTGCGCGTGTGTGTGCGCGTGCGCAAATGCACACTCTGAAATGCTCATCAGTCCTGCTCTTAGCCCTCCCGCGGCAGGGCCAGCCCTACTCTTCTCATTCCTAGAGAGCCCAGGACCTGCCTCTTCCTTTTTCTCCCAGACCCCCACTCATGCTCCTGCTTCTCCCTCTCTCCATTCCCCAAATTCCAGCCACAACTACCTACACGTGAACTCCTTAGGCGAGTCTCTGGTATTTGAAACCGGGAGTGGGAAACGGACAGAGGAAACTGAGAAAGAACAAGGAGGACCAAAAGTTCAAAGTCCCCTGGCCTAGCAGGTGCTTCGCTGGACCCTGGGAAACTGCACACCAAAGAGGCTAGGCTGCTGGGGCCAGAAAGAGAAAAGGTGGGAGAACAGAAAAGATGCTGCTGGGGAGGGACACAAAAGGGAGCCACCTCTCCTCACCACCAGGTTCACCCACCAGGTGCTCCAGACACTTAGGAAATGAATAGGGGCTTTGTCACGGGAAGGGGCATTGAGAGGGTCTACCCAAAGGGGTGGCTGTCTTGGAGGGAGCAGCAGAGGGGGAGACTCACACAGCTCACACAGACTCTGAGCAGAGAGAGAGCATAAAGCAAAGGGCAATTAGGCAAAAGGGAAATGATGAGACCGTTGCTTTTCCGTTTTCAGGAGGGATGAAACCCTTGCAGAGAAGAGAGGAGAGGAAGGTAACTCCTATTTTGTTTTTCCGCAAGTCATTCCAGCCCATTCGAGTGTCTCCTCTGAACTCCCTTCCCTCCCCCAGGCAGGGTATCAGGCAACGGAGGCTGAGGTGAGGGGAGGGGCAGCTCATGCCCAGCGGGAGGCATAGCTCCCCTCTTCACCCAAGAGAGAACAGGTGGCACAAACAGATAAGCCCTGAGGGCCCCACCCACTTGCCTGGGATTCCCGGCTTCTAAGTCTGGGTGAAGAGCCTACTAGTGAACGGAGGAGAAAAGGAAGAAGAAAGAGTTCCCTGGAAGGCAGTGCTTTTCAAGCCTTACTAGGCACTCCAATCACCTGAGGTCTTCGTTGAAATGCAGATTCTGATTCAGTAGCTCTGGCCAGGAGCCTGAGCTCTTGCATTTCTAGCAAGTTTTCAAGGGCTTCCTGTGCTGCTGGTCACCGTCTGGGAAACGCACCTTAATTTTCGAGCCTTCTCTGTCTTTAGCAGCTAGTGTGAAGCCTGGCACAAAGCATGCTTCTTAACAACTATGTCAAATAAATGAATGACTAGATGAATGAAAGAGTGAGCTGAGAAGCAGGACTTTTTGCTACTTAAGCCGCCCTAGATGCTTCTTAAAATACAGATTCCCAACCCCTCCCCTGAAATTTCTAAGTCAGTATGTCTGAGGTGGGATGGGGTACCCGCATTTTAAAGGCGCCCCTTAGGTGATTTCTCTTATCAGGCCTGTCTGAGAAACACTGGTCTAATGAGTAAGATGGGGACTCTGAGGCCTGAGACCAAGATAAACAATGAGGCTCAAAGGAAAAAAGTCAGGGGCCATGGGGTAGGGGTGAGGAGGTCTTAAGGCTATGGGTTCAGTGGGGCGGGGTAGTGGGGGAGGTCCGAGCCCTTAAGGCACCTGCTGAGAGAGATCAGGGCTTGCCCAGGACTCAGGGCCCTTGGGGGTGGGGGACCAGGACGCCGAGGGCTTCGCTGTCTCACCACTTGAAGACGAGGTTGAGCCACTCGGTGATGAGGCTGATCCAGAGCACTGCGATGCCCACGCGGCGGGAGGCGTAGTAGGCCGCGGGGAAGTAGAACAGAAAGAGGCTCTTGGGATCGCCCAGAAAGGTGACCCAGAGCCACACACTCTCCAACCAAGGCAGTTGGTTTTGCAGCGCCTCGGCCATCGCGATGCCCGCGCCCAGCGTGGACTCCATGGCGACCCAGGGGCCGGCCGGGCGGGGATATGCTCTAAGGCGGAAGCCGAGGAGTCGCGGAGACAAGAAAGCGGCTCGCCACTGCGGTCCAAAGCCCACCTTTCTGAGCCCCAGGCCCCGCCCCCTGCCAGCGGCCGGCGCAGGCCCCGCCCCCGCCCCGCCCCTCGGCTGTCCCAGACTCGCGCGAGCCCGGCCTTTAGCCGGTACCGTTTCCTCCAGCGCTCTTCCCGGGCCTTCCTTTCTACTGGGCAGCGCAGGGGACAAATCTTTGCGAAGGCGTTTCCGCAGAGCCCCACGTGGCCGCTGTTGCCGGCACGTGGGCATTGGGCGCAGAGGCGGCTCCCGCTGCTGTTCCGGGTCAAAGGAAGGACTAACTTGCGGGTCGGCGACGCGACCGGCGTTCTTGCTTTGCTGCAGCGAAGATGGATGTGTAATCTCCAACGTCAGGATTCCTTCGAGACCGGACCTCTTTTCTCCTGTACCGCTACCCTCCAAAGATATTCTGAGATTTCTTGGAGAAAGGTTTACGGGCACTCCCTCATCGGAGGAGCCAGGCATCACCGGTCGGCGCTGAAGCGGGACCCTAAATTTGCATACACCGCTGATCAAACCTTGCCTTTCTTCCCCAGCTCAAGAATCTCCCGCCCGAATTCATCCGTTATTGATTTGGAAGCTGACAGATAAGCCTCTTAATTTTGAGGAGTCTTCCCTAAACACTTGCGAATTTTTACACGTAGCAGCCTAAGTCACACTTCCTCCCACTTCTAAGCTTGCTTTATCTCCCTCCTTCCGTTTTCTTGCTTTCCAAAACCTCGCTGGGCAGGTAAACCGTGAGGTAGTAGCTGGGTTGGTATGGGAAGAGGAGGGGCACACACCCACGACAAAATTTGGAATAATCCTCTCGAGAAACACACACACAAAATAGAAACCTCAGCTGTTCTAGGCGAAGTCCTGCCTAGAGGCAGAGTTGGGGTGGGAGGATACTGTTGAGTGGCTCCCCAGTTCCTTCCTACCTCAAGCAACTTTGTTCTTGGAGAGTTTTCTGATGGGTGGATGAAAATGAGAATGTAAATATGGTTCTTCTTGGAAAGAGATTAATTTCACTAATTAAAAAGCTGTGGGGAAGGGAAGCTGGATATAAATGTCATCTCACTCCCTTGCTAAATGTTTTCCAATTGCCCCAAGGAGAAAGCCTACATTTTCTAGGTCTTTCAAAGTTTGCTCAGGCTCTAGCAAGACAACCTTTACCAGCCTACCCCCACAACTCCATTTCATAGTATTTCTGAACTACTTTATGTTCCGTGAAATCACCAAGCTCTCTCTCCTTTTAGAGATTTTGCTTGTCCTTTAGGTCTCAGATTTTTTCTCTTCCTCCAAGAAGCTTTTCCTAACAGTACGTGGCAGTCATATATATGAAAACCTATAATCACAATGCCATATAAAAAGTGGAGCGGCAGTTACATATGATTTGTTATGAGGGTCAGACTTGAAAGTTATCCAAAAAAACACAACTAAGAGGGAGCGGTATATTTATTCCTATTACAATGATTGTACTAATATACGCCCAACATTAGGAAGTTGATGTCTCCTGCAGGGCAAGGAAACACTTTTGAACTGTGTTCAGGTTAAGTAGCACCAGCGCTGGCCCTTTGCCTCCCTCTGGACTAGAGAAAGGTCAGCCTATTGTTACTATGTGAGGCTCCAGATTTTCTGTGGGGGGAGGGGCGGAGTAGGTGGATCAGGGATGGAAATTGGTGATGACAGGGCTTGAAAATGCATCTTGCATGTTAAAACTTTCGTATATCTGATGGACACTAAGGGGGGAGGGCCCAAACTCCTGCCCCAAGGCCACCTTTGTCACTACTTCTGCTTCTCATTCCTGCCCTTTGCCTGGCTTTCTAGAGAGGGCAGGATGGGAGATGGGAAGGCATCTCGAGTTCCAAGGGTGATGGGTGATCATGGAGTAACTACCATTTATTAAAGACCTACTGCATGCCACATCATCTCACTTCACCACCTAACTCCTCTAGAAGGCATTATTTAATACAGCAGAGCAGTAAATAGCACCGTCTTTGGAAACAGGTAGAACGAATTCTTTCTGGTTGTGCGACCCCAGCCAAGTTTAGTCTAAGACTTTAGTTTCTTCATCTGTAAAATGAAGGTGTTGATTCCTACACCAAAAGATTGTTGGGTGTTCAGTAAGTAATAATACAGAAGAAATAAAGATGCAGGATCAGGTTTAGTAATTTGCTCAACGTCATAGAACTTAGTAAGTGGCAGACCTGGGATTCCGATCCCAGTTTAGCTAATCCTATAGGCAGTGTTCTTTCCACTACCACTTTGTAACTGGGTATAATAATTTTGGGCAAGTTTCCTTAAGTCCTCTGGTCCTCAGATTCCTCATATATAAAATACAGAGTTCATTCATTAAACTCTTCTGTCAAGGTGTGCTCATATGGAGACTGCAGCTCCCGCCTCCTTCCCCTTCTCATTCCACGTAGGTCATTTATCTTTAATTTCTGAAATGGAGTCTGCAAGCACCTTACCAAGCGGGCCCAGATGCACAAACACTCATTCAGATTCCCCTTTATTTCCTCTTCTTTCCTTTTCCACCTAGGCTCCCGCCCCACCCAGCGCCAGGCCACGCCCTGGCGTGTGACGTCAGCACGCCTCGTGCGTCGCGTCGCGGCGCTCACTGGGGGCCCGGCTTTCGCCCGCTGCTGCCGCCGCCGCCGCCGGCCGCGGCTGCTCTCCCAAGATGGCGGCTCCTCCGGGCGAGTACTTCAGCGTTGGGAGCCAGGTGTCGTGCCGGACGTGCCAGGAGCAGCGGCTGCAGGGCGAGGTGGTAGCCTTCGACTACCAGTCCAAAATGCTGGCTTTAAGTATCCTTCGCTGCGCGGAGCCCGAGGCCGGGCCGGCGTGTATGTGCGGTGGTGGGGGGGGTGGGGGACGACGGCGGCGGCTGGGGCCCTCTCCGGGCCTAGGGGCGACCGGCTACCGCGGCGCCCGGAGCGCATGCGCACGGGCCTGAGCTCCCCTCCCCCTCTTCGCGTGTCCCTTGGTCCGCTTAGGGGACCCTGTCTCCCACCCCTTATGGGGAGCTGGGCCCCGAGCGAGGGTCAGTGGGTGGAGGGGGGCTTGACACGCGGATGCCTTTTCAGGGAAACGCTATGAGAGGGGACACAGTGATCGGGAGAGAGGGTGGTCGTGGGAGGGGGCTGGTGGATTGGAGCCCGGATGGAAGGGGGGCGGGTAGAATCATGTGGGGAGGGGGTGTGCAGAGTAAGGAACTGCTAGTAGCGCAAGGGTATGGAGTTCAAGAGGGGGTGTCTTCTGGTGGGATTCGGTCCAAGGAAGGGCGGTGGGGTGGTGCCCAAATGGGCCTTGCTTGCTTTGGGGGAGAGTAACTGCAGGACAGAGTTTGTATCTGAAATGGGGATAGGGGCTTGTTTTGCTGGTGAGTGTGTGTGCGTGGTGCTCTTGGGGGCGGGGAGTATTGAATTAGCTTTCTCAGTCATTTGAAAATTGCTGTTTTGAGAATGTTTGCGTTGGAAACCTGGTCCAGATAGAAGACTACGTTTTTTTCAGGGTCTCAGGTAAGCTTGTGTGGGTTACAGGTGAAAGAGTAAGTTATCTCCTCCTGCTCAGCCCAGCACATGGAGTCCTGACTTTTCCTTAGTAGTTCCCTCCCCTTTTGGAAGTGTCGGTGTTAAACAGAATAGAAAAGAAGGCCTGCTTCTTTGGGGTGGAAATGATTTCTGAATTACTCCAGGAAACTCAGTCTTGGAAACAAAATATGATTGCCATAAATGTGCCACCCACCCCTTCCCCTTTCTGAGCCACAGGTGGGTTTATTTTTTTATTTTTTCGAGTAATCCTTTATGGCATCTTTCAAAAGGAAGTTTCCTACTGAGTGCTGCATTTGAGTGTCAAGTATACCACTAGTTGTAGATGTCTAGCTTAGGAAGATGTCCTCTGAAACTACAGCAGGAACCGTTGCCTTTTTTTTGTAAAATACAAAAACTCAGATCTGGGCCAAATAGACCTTTTACATTAGTGGTTTAATTGGAAGGGTTTTGGCATGAAGAATTACTTTACTTTTAATTGGCATATATTATGCTCTTGATAAATAGTTGGAGGACGGGTGAGTGATAGAAAGAAAGAAAGAATGAATGAATGTATAAATATATAAATAAATGGGTTATCTAGCTGGGTTCACCTGGAGTGAGCCTCCTTTCCAGTGCTATAGTTTCCTCCTCTGCAGAATGGGAAATCTGAAATCTAAAAAAGTGAAAAGAGCAGTATATAGATGAAAGGAGTATTATACCAAGAACAGAAAGTACTGCCACTCCTGTGTGGTTCCTTAGGGCCAAGACAAACTATATATACGGCGTTAACACTGCATTATGCCTCCATACAACCAGTAGAGAGGTGACAGAAACCCTTTCTGAGGCTTCCAATTTTGGGTGGTATTTGGCTTTGAAAAGCTTGAGATCTTTTGGTTCTAGGGTTTTGAGCGGGCGGAAGGTGATAGGCAGAGATTTCCTGAGGAGAGCTGTGATTCTTGTGAGGCTCCCCCCTCTTGATCGTGGCACACCTGTTAACACCAGCCTGTGTGAATTGTGTTTTCCATGCCCCTTTTGGGATGTGTCAGTGCTCTGTTTGCCCCTATTTTCCTTAACTTTATTTTTTCACCAGAATGTCCCTCTTCCAGTGGAAAGCCCAACCATGCAGACATCTTGCTCATAAACTTACAGTATGTTTCAGAAGTGGAAATAATTAATGACCGAACAGAAACCCCTCCTCCCCTAGCTTCACTCAATGTTAGTAAGGTAAGGACTTGAGGGCAGTTCTGGCTCTCCAAAATGGTGGGGGAAAATTGAGACTCATTGACTCTTGGTGATACATATATTGTCCATTGTTTTTCATTTTTTCATTGACTTAAAATTGTTTGTTCTGACACCTTTTTGGAAAACCTGTCAGTTTAGGTTTTCTCTTTATTCCTGGATATCTTCAGAAGACTTAAGAAACCTTTTAATGCCCAAATAGAGAAATAAAGTTGCGAGCTTGCTTTTGTCCTTTGTGAAAGAGGACTTTTTTTTTTTTTTTTTAACTGGAGTCCATGCGTGAACTTCAGTATTGGTGGGGTTGGGTAGGGGTGTTGCCCGTGAATCTCCTGAAATTGTGTGTGTGCACACATGAATAGACGTGGTTTTGGTGAACATATGGAGTATTTTGCAGATCTCTGATTCATGACCTACAAAAATTTGGAAAACTACTGCCTTAGAGCTACATTTGTGTCTTTGTATTTTTGAGGTCTGACAGAATTAGAGGCTTAGGATATTTTAATCTTGGACGTACATGTTGATAATCTGGGAGCCTCCAAATCACTTTGACTCTTTAGTTCTATGAGTGAAAGTTCATGTATAATAATAACAATAATAATACCATCCCATGCCCTGGAGTCTTTGCTGTCCTGTGCTTTGAACACTCTTTCTTCCAGAATGTCTGGAGCCGCATCCTTCAGGACTTAGTTAATGGCACCTCTTCCAAGAAGTCTTCTCTGATCACCCAGGCTAAAGTAATTTGCTCCCATTACTCTCTCTTACAGTACCTTATCCTTTAGAGTTAAAGTGACATAGCATTTATAGTCCAACTTAGGACATTTTTGAGAGTAAAGCAGAGTGCTTTTGTTTTACACTGGGACAAGTATAGATCAGTGTGTCCTGGGCACATTGGAACTTAAGGTTACCCTATTCGTAGCCTGTTTATAATTGTGTTATCATTTGTTTGCTTTTCTATCTCACCAAACTTTGTGAGGATGGAAACCATACTTGTTTTGTTCATGGCTGAATATGCAGAGCCTTGCACAGAATAAGTGCTTAATATTTTTTGAATGAATATTAGACCTTCGATTTTAGTAGCAGCTGCCTTAAGTCTCTTGAATTAGTGTGGTGGAGGTATTTCCCTCTGGAGGAGTCTTGTAATAACGTATATTCTCTTGCTTCTCTCGGGAATGTGGTATGTTGGCTACAATTCAGCAAAGCAAGGAAACACTTAGGCAGCTGAAACAGTAGAGGGTAACTGAGGCTGGCAGAATATAGTTACCTCCTATCTGGAGGTCCCTTCTTTTCAGATTCCAGGGAGATGCCACTTGTTTTTTAGTGATGGCTGAAGACAGATTCGGAACGGTGTTGGGTTTCATATTAAAGGCTGTTGCATATAGAATGTCCCATTCTTAGAAATCTATAGATTTTTGAAACCCTGGCTTGGGTACCTCCTACTAGAATGTAGGAGCTCTTGGAGTGGTTGTCTTTTTTTTTTTTTTTTTTTTTTTTTGGCTGAAGAGATTTTAAAAGATTCAAGTGAAATAGTTTATTCCTGGTATATTGAAGAGAAAACACAGTTACTTTTAGTGTTTATAGGGTATGAAAGTTTGTTAACTAAATAACTGGATCTTCAGTGAGTAGTAGAGGAAAGATTATCTGAAAGAGGGATGGTTTTCTGAAATGTAAAGGACTAAGTTTCTGTTCTTTTTTTTTTTTTAGATTTTTATTTATTTATTGAGAGAGAGAGAGTGATAGAGAGCATGAGAGGGAAGAGGGTCAGAGAGAGAAGCAGACTTCCTGCTGAGCAGGGAGCCCGATGCGGGACTTGATCCTGGGACTCCAGGATCATGACCTGAGCTGAAGGCAGTTGCCCAAACAACTGAGCCACCCAGGCGCCCCCTAAGTTTCTGTTCTTGGAACCAATATGTGCCACCATTTAGTTGAGAGGAATTGGATTATTAGGGGTGGGACAGTTAAGCGGGAGCTGTTAAAAGGTAATTTACTTATGTTTGACCTCAAATATATATAGTTCTTGGTTTTTGAGTTTGCAGCGTATTTTTGTCTTTAGGGTTTTGCTTTCTGCTGGTCAGTTTTAGATTATTAGTATTGTTGTAAACTAGTTGTTTACCCACTCTTTCAAGAAAGCAGGAATCAATAGGTTAGGGAAGACTGGAAATTTTTACTTTTTTTTTGTGGCCTGCTTGCCAAGTCTTGAAAAAGGTTTGCTGGGAAGAGGAGTCAGAAATTAGGTTGGAGGGCTATCTCTGGACTTCATTTATTCGCTCTTTCATTTGCAGACATGTTTAGGAGTAAAATTAAGGTTGGAGGGCTATCTCTGGACTTCATTTATTCGCTCTTTCATTTGCAGACATGTTTAGGGGTAAGCTATACTGGCTTTCCCATATTTGAGGATGCTTTGTGATTGCTCCCTGGAATCGGTTAGACTTAGAAGAGCCTGCTGCACTGTTAGTGGAAACTTAATCTGGGCAGGTGTTTACATATTGCTTGAATGACCTGAAAAGTTCATCCCATTGAAGAGCATGGACTGGGTTTTTTTTTTTTTTTTAAGATTATTTATTTATTTATTTGAGAGAGAGAATGAGAGCATGAGAGGGAAGAGGGTCAGAGGGAGAAGCAGACTCCCTGCTGAGCAGGGAGCCTGATGCGGGACTCGATCCCGGGACTCCAGGATCACGACCTGAGCCGAAGGCAGCCGCCCAACCAACTGAGCCACCCAGGCGCCCCTGGACTGGGTTTTTTTTAAGATGGAGGATTGTTTAAGTATGTTAGAAGGGAACTGAAGTGCTCAGAGATCCCTGGAAGAAAACTGTTGCTGCTCACAGTCTTGGGGAGCATCACCTGTGTGCTCCACTTCCAGTAGGAAGATACCGTCACATGTTGGCTCATGTTGCTGATATAGTAAGTGCTTTGTTTAATTAATCCTGTTGATATAAATTGGATATTTGTTTACTCTGACCCAGCAGGAAATGGAAGAGAAGGACTTTTAAAGAAAATACTTAATTCCAGCCCAACTAGAGAAGGTACGAACTAGCAGTTCTTAGAGATGAGCCCATTTTGCTTTCCGTTTACAGTTCACTGCAGGCTTAGAAGTCCTGTGTCTGTCCACAGCTGTGGGATGTGAGGGGCAGCTTGGAAGAGGACAGTGGGGTTGCTGAAGGTGGAAGTTACGAGTATCATTTGATCTTCTCCACAGTACCATTGTACCCTGTTAAAGTGTTCTGAATTTCCTGACTCTAAGACAGAAGCATTTCAATAAAAGTACAAAAGCACATCAAAGCCAGTCATAAGTGAGGTTCAAGTTACTCACCCTGTGGCTTATTAGTTTATTCTGTCATGAGGAAGGTTTAAATATTGCTTTAGGACAAGAAGAACCCTAGGGTCCACGTGGCAGAATGAAGTATGGTGTTTCTTCTTAACAAGTTCCTTTGAACTGACTCTGCATCTGGTTCTCTGGGAATGAGGATTACCCATGGGTTGGTAGTGTTCTCAGGAGATGATTTGGGACATGTCAACATGAACAAGCTTCTCTCCTGTGTAGCATTATAAAACATTTCCTGAAATCTATTTTGTGCAAGGTTTTGTGGTAAGCTCTGCTGGGGACCACATTTTACATTTGTCTTGTGCTTTACAGTTTACAAAGAGCTTTGACACCTCTCATTCCATTCTCACAGTCACACCATGTGATCTTTAGAGTGTATTCTTTTCCTTTCTGTTTAATAGGTGAGAAGACAGGCTTATTAGTTTTAAGTGACTTGTTCTGGGTTATATGGCTGGTAGTGTGGGAACTAATGTTTTTATGTGCCACTCTGAACTAGCAACTGGTAGACATCTCATTTAATTCTAACAGTTCTTATGGTGTGGGTACCATCAGCATTTCATAGGAGGGTAAACTGAGGGTCAGAGAGAATGAGTCACTAGCTCAAGATCATGCAACTACTAAGTAATAGAGCTGGGATTTGAACTCAGGTCTGATATTTTAACTGCAAAGTCCCATGTTAGTAATATTTCTATGTAGAGAAACCTCTGTATTATGTGGTCAGGAGCATTGTGGTCTAGTAGAAAAAGCAGGAATCAAGCAGGTAAGTCTTTAAAGTCACTTCTCTGCCTCTTAACCTTACTAAGCATCAGTTTCCTCACTGTAAAAATGGGATAATGTTAGTACCTATCTCATAGAGTTGTTATGGGGATTAGGTCAGTTGACTAGAATTGGCAGATGTTAGTTCTGTTCTTCTGCATTAGCTATGTGTAGCCAGCTGATGTTCCTTGAATAGGCATAGGGGCAAGGTGGGGGGAAGGGGGGCATTATGACTGAGGGAAGGCAGCCAAGAATATGCATGCTATTACTATGTCAGTCTCTCCTGGCTTTGGACGGACATTCGTTCAGTTATCCAAACTTGCCAGACCCATATTGGGGAAAATCAAAATTGTATTGAATACCATTAATATGTAATTGAGTTAAATGTTTTTAAGAGATCTCTTCTTGGTGACCAGAATTAACTTGAACATTGAGAGCAATGTTATCAGGTGGCGTAGTTAAGTGAACACTTGGCTGAGTACTGGAGTTTAGAGTGAGCAGTCACAGAACCTAGGAGGCTGTGCTTTCAACTTCTGAGATCCTTAGGGAAGAACTCATGGACAGAGCCAAGGCAAGTGTATGTATTTGTTGAGATAAATGCATCCAGTGCATTGACTGAGATGTAAGTCGTCCTCACTTTGCTGAGTCGGAGAAGACTTTCTTAAAGAGATATTTGTGTGGGACTTGTTGTGGGGGGAGGTGGGAAAAGTGTGGGGGGAGGTGGGAAAAGTGACAAAGCATAGAAAATTGAAATCCACATATAAGGCATCCACCTCCCTTGCCAAACCACGGACTAATTTGTCAGCCTCTTTTATCCATTATTACCCATTTAGATCTTACTAACAAGCAGTGAATTATCAAATGCAACCAGGAAGAAGAGATTCAAAAGGCTTATCATTAGCCCCTG